CAACCAGCGCGCGAAGCCCAGTTCCGCTCATTGGCTCGATCGCCTCGCGCCAGCCGAGCTCGCCTCTCATTGGTCACTGTTTTTCGTTGATAACTCGTTAACGGTGCCTCGGAGAAAATTTTTGTAAAGGAAAAAGTTGCTTCAAATGGCCTGAGGAACCCGCCACTTTCGGATTGCGAGACATTTTTGGGACACCCTGTATATACAGTATCAGACTCTGCCGTCCAGGGAAATAGCCTCGCGCAGAATTCAGCCATACCTAAAAGGTTAATAAAGTTTTCAAGGTTCGAAACTATTCTTCCTTAATTCGCTATGCCGGTGACGTACATTGGCGCAGGCTTTAAGGGGTTGAACAGACACATACTCACACACAGAGAGAGAGAATCGAGTGTATTCTCGAACCGACATTTTTCTTCGCCAGGGGATCCGTTTCCTGATTTACCTAGCGTCACGTATACGCCGATCGTCGTGGTTCGTTTACGTTGCAATTCGGTTATTTCGTTCGTATAAATATTTGATGCCGGCCGAGAAGTCGCGCACCTAACTGCCGAGGCGAAATGTATTTCATATCGTTACCGACGTTCGCCGCCGCCGCCGCCGTCTCCGTCGCCCCGCGCGCCCAGCACGCACCGACGCGACGTCAACCCGACGAATTCCCTGGGACACTGTACATTTCAGGGTATTTACATTTTATCGCTTCTTCGCAAACTCTGGCAATTTCGGTCGTTACGCGCGAACAAGAATGAATGGAATTTCGACGTAAATTACGAAACTGGCACGATTAACGTGGCCGACACGCGGGAACAAGTGTGCCCGCCCGCCTGCCTGCCTGCCCGAAACGATCTTCTTCATGCAAATCGCATTTTCCTAGGTAATTTTTCAACAATTGATACGACGGGAACGTGTTTTTAAACAGCGCCTCTCCTGTGGTTAAGCTATCGAAGATCGAAGTCACCGATATTGGAATATAAAGTTTATTTTCTGTTTTGCAGTAAAAGCGATGCAAGTATTTAAGGATTTTCGTGCGTTACGCGATGCAATATTAGCTGCATAACGACGGACAAGCCGAAAGTAAATTAAAATAATTGAATAAACACATGGGCAGTATGATAAAAATCGAGAAACATTGGTAAATCGTGAGAAAATATGTATCGACCCAGATGAAACTAGAAAATCAGATTTAATAAACATTTTGCTGAAATTAAATTAAAATAATTAAACGAACACGTGGATTGTATGATAAAAATCGAGAAACGTTGGTAAATCATGAGAAAATATTTATCGATCCAGATGAAACTAGGGAATCAGATTTAATAAACATTTTGGTCGCCTGTGAATTATGTGTAGACTTTCGATTAATGTGCAAACCGCAAATACATATAAGTTATTTTATGTTATTCTGGCTCAAATAAAATAATAATACCACTGATTTTATATATAAAATATTATTTATAAAATAGACGTTTGTCTAGAACGATTGCGATTAAAGTTCTCAATTGAATTTAAAAATCGACTAGAATAAAATTATTAATATCCTGCAACGTAAACAATCACGTAAGCACTTTCTTACCCCAATTTTGCTACCCCCGCTAATATAATACTTTAAACCTATCCATAGAATCGTCGCGATATCGCTTATGGAAAATGTTCGCGAAATCATTCGCGGACCATTATTTATTTTCGAGAGTGCGACAAATGTATCCGATCGAATCGGCGAATTTTTTATCCGTTAAAGGATAAACTGAGCATGCGCGATGTAAATTTCGCACTCTTTCAAGGATTTCCTTCGGCGAGATCAAAGGAAGATTGCCCTCCCGCGCTTTATTATTCCGCGGCTAATCCGCGTCTTGTTTCCCCACCGGTAACAGCACAAGCACAGGGCAACGACGCGTTGTCATTAAATAAAAATCAATCAGAAGGTCGTGGAGGAAGCTTAACGGATTTATGTAGGCCGAGCATGACTTAGCAGTCCACGGGGGGGCTCGACGACCTGCATCCGTAATCTCTATGGTTCTACGATAGATTTCCCATTACAGTAAATTCTCCCCAATTGACGCACAGATTGTACACAAAAATGGACAATTTGGGAAGGGAAGACGCGATTGTGCGAACCTTGCGTCTTTATAGTTATTGACAATCGGCGACTATAAAATATATATAATAATTAAAAGGATAATAAATAATAATAATAATGATAAATGTATCATATGATATATAATAGTAATAAAATAGTATAATAAACCGTGCAATAATAATAATAAAAATATATATTAATCGTATCTTCTCTTCCCAAATTGTCCATTACAATAATAATAATATTATTTAATTATTATATATATTTTATTATATATAATTATTATTATTATATATATTAATATATAATAATTATTATAATAATAGTGAATGTATAATATAATATACATAGTTTTTATAGTAACGATTGTCAACAACTATTAAAACGAGCCGCAACACGGTCAAATTGTCCATTTCAATTTGTCAATTAGGGAGAATTTATCATAGTTCCTAAATTTTCGTCTCTCTCTCTCTCTCTCTCTCTCTCTCTCTCTCTCTCTTTCACTGTCGAAATTTAAATGTCAACATTTTCATTCGAAACAATATTTTCTACTGTTTTAGGCGATCATGTACGAGGGACAGGACAAAAATCCTGAAATGTGCAGAGTCCTTCTAACACACGAAGTGATGTGCAGGTGAGTTGACATCTATCAAAATTATCGATACAGTGGCATATATAAAGTATATGCTTATTTGATAATTTAACAAAAATCTTTTTTATTACCTCTTCCTTTACATTTTGCAATCTTATCGACTCAAATTGTGTGTTACAAAGTTTTTACGAGCAGCTTGGCATCCACGTTGGATACTGTTTGCTTGTTATTAGCTTCGAGAGACAATTTGTATAACCATCGAGGCTCGAAAGTGTCTTATGAAGCTAGAATTAAATGTGCACGAGTGTTCTAGTATGGTTGAAAAAGAAATTGATGAAACATTTTGATCGATAGCGTCGTTTTTTAAATTCATTTTCAAACGAATAAAAAGACCATTTCGCGTCGATCCATAAATCTTGATTTTGTGTCCAACCTTTTTCGAAGCTCCGATAAAAATTGTTGATCGTGCAATAGGAATAAGTTCGCTGAAGATTGTTAGAAAATGTGAAGTTTATCGGACAACTAGATCTTGAGGTCTCGTGTCAGCCATATCAGAAGATGAGGTTTCGAGGAAAACGCATTTGAAAGTTTTCTCTGTCAGCTGCATGAAAATGCATATATGTACGGTAAATTCTCTCCAATTGTCCCTCAGCTTGTAAACAAGAATGGACTATTTGGAAAGAGGGGATGCGATTGTGGGAGCCTTGCGTCTCTCGTTTTTATAGTTGTTGACAATCGGCGACTATAAAATATATATAATAATAAAGAAGATAATAAATAATAATAATAATAATAAATATATAATATAATATACTAATAAAATAGTATAATAAACCGTGTAGTAATAATAATAAAAATATATAATAATCGTATCTCCTCTTCCCAAATTGTCCATTATAATAATAATAATATTATTATAATTATTATATATATTATATTATTATATAATATTATTATATATATTAATATATAATAATTATTATAATAATAATAGTAAATGTATAATATAATATACTAATAAAATGTATAATAAAAAAACCGTGTAATAATAATAATAAAAATATATAATAATCGTATCTCCTCTTCCCAAATTGTCCACTTTTGTGGACAGTCTGAGCGTCAATTAGAGAGACATAACTGTACTTCCTTAAGCATCGATGTTGTCGACGTTGACAATTTCACCGACAGATTTTACAATTATATTGTTCGCTGCGGGAGGAGAAGATCCGTTCTCTATGCAAGCAACCTCCCTCTCGCTAGCAAACCCCAAACGTAACGAAACACACGAGGACGTAGTCATTCTCCGGGGGTGGCTGACTCATTGACCCATGGGACTTCGGCCCGACTGCTCTCCACCCCCCCGAACTTCGAGGTCTCAAGGGCTCCGGTAGTTTTTAGACGAAAGTTCTGACCCCTCTGGATCCGATGGTCGAATTTACTTCCCGAAAAAAATTGCGTCCTCCCTGAAAAAAACTGTTTGAAAATTATGCGCAGCGATGTCTGACCGTCTCTCTCGTTACCTTGCAGTCGGTGCTGCGACAAGAAAAGCTGCGGGAACAGAAACGAAACGCCCAGCGACCCTGTGATCATCGACCGGTGAGTAATTCTATTAAGTAAACTATTCGTTTCGTTTCGTGCTCGAACTACTCGCTTCTATGTTCGCGGTGAATTGTTAATTATTTCTTAACGGATGCGAGCTCTTGAAGAAAAGAAGTACAAAAAGAAGTATGTTTGCGTTCGCATACTTATGTACAATCTTCGCAATGAGATCGTTACTATCATTCGTAGAAGTCATTGAACTTGTCTCGTCGACGCCGACGGTAGAAAATACTATATTATTTTCTAGTATTATTAATACTAAAATAGTATAATTAATACTACTATTGTATAGCTGCAGGATTCAAAATGAACACCCTCTATGTATACAGTATACATGTCTAACATCTAATACACTCTACGTAAATTAATTGAAATGTATGATAATGGCTTTTAGAATGATTAATGACTTTTTAGAATACAGATAACTCTATCAAACGCGTTATTAATATCAGCACAACAATGCATAGATAAATATTAACAATTATTTCAATTAATACAATTCACCCTAAACTTGACTCAAAACATCAATATACTTTATAATGCGACTAATAAAGTTATTAAATACTATAACTCAATGAATAGTATAATACATGCAATAGATTCTCCCCAATTGTCGCTCAGCTTGTAAACAAAAGAGAGGAGACTCGTCGATTGTCAACAATTATAAAAATAAGGCGCGTTGCAAGTTGTTCATTTCTGTTTACAAGCTGATTGGGGAGAATTCGCTGTAAAGGTCTTTCTTTGCTTGGAAGCAAGTAATGCAATCATCGGCGAGTATAAATCATTAATTAATTCTATTAACACTTCCACGAGCGCGCTAGAAACCTCAAAAATGTTCATAAAATTAAAATATTCCATTCCATTGAACAAAAATTATGAAACAAACTTATATGGCATCGATTGCTTCTTCAACATTCGTACCTCTTGCAAATAAAATGAAGCAATCATTTTTAATTCCTCATTAATCATCCATTCGGACGTCGAATTTAACTTTTTAGGCACAACGCGCCACTATAGTGGCTTCCGCGGATATCATCTTTTAGAACGACACGCCACTATAGTGGCTTTCGCGGATGTCATCTTTCAGAACAACGCGCCACTATAGTGGCTTGCTCTAGTAGCTCACTTGCTCATCGTTTGAACCAAATAATCGTCTTCATATGCATTGTTTCACACTCCTTTTGTCTTCGCATTAATTCACAACAGTCTACAGGATGTCCCAAAAATGTCTCGCAATCCGGAAATGGCGGGTTCCTCGGATCATTCGAAGCAATTTCTTCCTTTACAAAAATGTTCTCCGAGGCACCGTTAACGAGTTATCAACGAAAAACAGTGACCAATAAGAATCGAGTACGGCTGACGCGAGGCGGCCCAGCCAACCAGCGCGCGAAGCCCAGTTCCGCTCGTTGGCTCGATCGCCTCGCGCCAGCCGAGCTCACCTCTTATTGGTCACTGTTTTTCGTTAATAACTCGTTAACGGTGCCTCGGAGAAAATTTTTGTAAAGGAAGAAGTTGCTTCAAATGGCCTAAGGAACCCGCCACTTTCGGATTGCGAGACATTTTTGGGACGCCCTGTACCTAAAAGGTTAAAACGGGGAGATCTGCTCGTTCGGTTGGCTAAGTGTTAAGAAAAATGGGCTCGAAAGATCCTAGTTTCGACAATGACGGGCGATCTAGCGATCGAGAAAGATGCGCGAGAGGCCTTTCGTCGAACGCCGGGGTAGGAAATACATAGACGGTCGGATCCGATCTCCCGGAGACAGGAGCGTCTATGATATCAGTTTACTACCCTTCCTATCATCTGTCGCAACGATCTGCGAAATAAGGGTCCAGATAACTCGTTCTTGAAGGTACCCACCTGCAAGATAGCGTCGCAGACCGTGTCGCGACTAGAAACCCGGGATATTTAGGCTTGCAAAATACGTTTCCTACGAGGTGTGGCGACGCTGCGAGGTAGAAGAGCACTCGAATACTCAGGCGTACTTATACCTCCACCACCTTCTACTGCTTGTCCTTGGAAATACAGGCGCAATCTTTCTCTCTCTCTCTCTCTCTCTCTCTCTCTCACTCGCACTCTCTCTCTCTCTCTCGCTCCCTCTTCCTCTCTAATCTCTTCTCCTTCCCACCATCTCTCTCTCTCTCTCTCTCTAACACACATATACACAAGGTAACATAGGAGTAGCAGGGTGAGCCTGGTATCTGAATAGACTATAGAGTGTCCTGAGATAGGAACGGTAGGAAGGAAGAGGTTTCCCGCGGGACACAGGCCGAGATAGTCTTCAGGAGGACATCTTGCGCTCAGAGGTGCTCAACTCCTGGTTTTCAATACAACGGTGTCCCAGAGCTTTCATCCTCGCCCCCGGAAGATATGTGTTACACGTTGGAGACGGCTAAAGCCTACTAGGCTTGCACATAACTATTTTTCTGCGCCTAGCGGTCTTTTCGTATCAGCACGCCCGAGGATTTAAGCGCGACGCTACGACATAGGCGTTGTTTATGGCTTACCGGTAAATGGATGTCGTTGTTTGAGGAACCTGCGTCGAGACGCTCTCTATTCGGTTATGCTAGCTGCAGTCTTGCCGTGCGATTCGAACGAAACCCCGGCTACGATTGACTTCGAAACTCGCCGAGAATTATTTTCATTTCTATCGAATTATTTGGAATCCTTTCACCCTTCCTCCCTCCCCTTCAAAAAGCAGGGTGGTAAGATAAACGTTAGATCGTTGAAATTGATAGGGATATAGGATAAGTGTAAATTTTCTTTCGCTTTTAGGAATTTATCGCGTCGACAAAGTAGCGCTAATTAACTGGAAGCTGGATTTACGGAAATGAATTCGCAGTAAATGTACAAATAATTTTCATTCGAATCGAATGTTATAGACTTCGATATACTTTTTAATCTGTATAGATCAAAAATTGTTCTCGTCGTAAGTAAGTATAATTCTGTTTAATGTAGAATATTTGCGTTAATTGTTCTTGAAACCGTGAATTTTGACCAGAGATACGAATAATTTGCATTTATATCGTTTAACTGGAAATTCGAGCTCTTAGTGCGTAATATGCGACACAATGTAACGTTCTCGATGCAAATTATCTTGTAACGGAAACGTAAATAACACGTTTATATATTTATTATATATTTATTAATATTTATTCGATCCGCAGACCGCGGAGTCCGAGTTCCACTTTCGTTCTTAAATGGCAATTTTCAATGAATGGATAAACAAATTATTTCTGGCAGAAACAATGCTTATACCTGGCAACAACAAATGCTTAATACCGTCGTGTGGTATCGATGATGGTTCCGGACAGACTGGTTAGGTTAGCATGTTGTTCGCGCGATGGATAATGGTAGCCGGAGGCGAAACTCGTTTGACGGAGCATTAGAAAAATTAATCTCGAAAAGGCTGGTTCGGCACATGGCACGCACGCACCTAAGTAACGTCGTATAAACCGTGACATAATGTAAATGCAGCAACGTTGCGGTCGCGTGTCACATCGAGCGCCACCCTAGACTACGTCTCTCAGCTTGGTTTGCGGTAGATCGTGCCGGACGCGGAGTAAATGAACGATCCATAGGATTAGAGGATTGAGTTAGCATGCGGATTACGTTTATCACGCATTTGCACTAATAATATTTACTACGAACCCTCCTCCTCCTCTGACATTCGCGCCACGCGTCCTTGCGTTTTTTTCGGAAACGCGTCGCCAACATTTTTGCTTTCGATGGTTTTAAAATCTGGATTTTCGATAAACTTGCATTTCAAGTCGAATAAAAGCAGCGTCTCACGCTGTGAACTTCTCACTTAATTGAAACAATTGGGATGTTTCCACGAGCACAGTCCTCCAGTTCGTTTGTTTCTTGGTCCTTAAATTATTGAAAATGTATAAATAAATATATATAATAATAAAAATAAAATATAATAAATTATAGACATCGGTGCGTTTCCACGAACATCGTTTGTTTCTCGATCCTTAAATTATTGAAAATGTATAATAAATATATATAATATTAAAATAAAATATAATAAATTATAGACATCAGAAGAATGTGAAAATATTTTCATATCACGTGCAACTTGCTGAAATTATTTTTAAAAGAGGGAAGACATTTTCATCCGACCGACGTCTCTTGTAAACAAGTGGAACAATTTCTCTTTCGCATAAAAATCCGCGATCTAACGATCGGTATTTTCAATTTCGCTTTTCGCGAGATCTCGATCGCCGATAAACCTCCGTTTCAATCCGAGGGAAATCGGTTTTCATTTTCATGAAAATGAACAGCACATTTTTGTAACCATTATCTATACCGTCATTCTTGTTTTTCTTTTTTTCCTGCATGAAATTGGTCACCCGGGGCTGAAAGTTTCGTAACGCTTTTTGCCTTCCCGGCCATTAAAATTAGCCTGCGACCCATATGAGAGTGACGCGGCCGCGCCTGTGTTGTTTGTTGGCGTGTACGTGTATATACACATCGGCCGGTTAATAGATTTTCGGTCTCGAACAAAACCGCAGCGCGGAGCAGCGCGTAGCGCGCGAGGGCCCGTAAGGGAGAATGAGCGAAGGGTATCAATGCCACTTTGATTGAGACAGCCCTGGTCGATTGTGACATGCTCGCTCAACTGTGCAGAAAGTTCAGCGCAACCACCATCAATTGTGTATATCCGGCTAGAAAAAGAACAAAAGCAAAGCCGGATTTTCTGCCTAAACATGGCCACTTTTTCACCCTATCACTTTCCCTCGATGAACGTTCAAGGGAACAGTCCGCGGATGGCCGAGGGGAACAACAATTAGAATCCGCGCCTTTTATGCTAAAAAAAAAAGAAAAAACGGGAGAGAAAACAATTCGTTATAGTTGTTGTCTAAAATCGTGTGTCCTAGACGAATGTCCTCGCGAACTGTTCCGAACTGTTTTCGTAACTGCGTGGAAATTTTTCGAAGAAATCTAATTTGTTCGCCATTCACTCTGCATAGTCTACTACTTAGTCTACTACTAT